TTTCCCTCTTGTTTTTTTTTCTTCCTTCCTTTCTTTCTTTCTTTCTTTTTTTGTCTCCTCTGTTTTGTGTACCCAGGCAGCCCATTGAGTAACTTCTTTGACGTAATTAAACAACTTTTTTCAGACGAGAAGAACGGGCAGGTGAGCCATCCCCCCGGCACGCCAACCAAGCATAGCGCAAACAGCAAGCGGAGCGATTCCGGTTCTAATGACTATGGGTCTAGAGGAGACAATAAGTACCCTGCTGGCAAAGACAAGGCAAAGATGGTCTCATCAGTCGGCCTACAAGACCAACCTTAAATAAACACATAAAAAAATAAATAACTTAGAAATAAAAAAAAACAAAAAAGCAAGAAAGAATGAAAGAATATTCCTTAGCAAGCTAGCCTCTAAACTAGAAGGATGTATATACCTTGCCACAACAGTACAAAACTGTCTATAGACAAATTTTGTATGAAGGAATGACTGTATATATATACATATATATATTTATATATGATATATAATATATATCTCAGAAACAAAAACAAAAACAAACGAATGAAAGAATGAAAAGAAAAGAAAGAAAAGAAAAGGTAGCACAGATGACAAACCCAGTTCACCAGATCTTGGGTTGTGGTTTTTCCGATTGGTTTTTTTCCTCCCTTTTTTTGAATGTTTTGCTTTTTTTCTCCTTCCTGATTTTTGGGTTTTTTATTATTATTATTATTTTTGGTTTCTTTCGTTTTGTTTCTTGTTCTGTTCATGCTCTCTCTGTGTTTCTGACGACACCACTTGTTTCCGCTCTGCTACCAGGAATTATCCCGAAAAGTTAACATGTCAGCCACGGCTTCACCTTCTGTGCTCTGCGGACACTTGTTGACGGAAGGCAACCGATGTAGACTGTCCAAGGACCAGTCCTGTTTGAGGTTCCCAGCCTCCCCTCTCCCTTCAGGAAGTGGGTTTCTCCCCCACTTCTCCCCAAACACCTCCCCAGTGCACGCCATATTTTTTTTTCCTTCTGTTTTTCTTTTTTGGTGCTCCACAAGAGAGATCTGCTCAGTTATGGGATTGCAGAGTCTGGGCTGAAAGGAGGTTGCAAATTGTTGGAGTGAAACCTTTACCCTTGGCAACTTCTGTCCGCGCAGGTGAACTCCGCCCGAAGCAAGGGGGAGGGTGCAGGGAAGGGGCCGGGTGTAGCGGGAGTGCAGTGTTTCATGAATCCAGAGCGCGTTCTCATCAGAAACCAGCCAGGAGCAACTCAAAACTAAGCGTTGAACCAAGACAATACTGGGGAGCTTCATCACAAAGTTTTCTAACGTTCTTTTTCTCCTCACCACCTTTTCCTTTTCTTTTGCCCCCTTTTTTTACATATACATGTATATATGTGTGTATATTTATATACATACATACGTACATATATATACAAAACAGTTGGTTTTTTTATACCGTATCATTTTGCTTTTTGACCTGCTGGAAGGGGAAAGGAGTAAACTTAGGAGGGAGAGGGGGTTCAATGAATAAACACATACAAACAAAACATTAAAACTTAGGGAAAAGGCAACTTCTGGTAGCAAAGAAGAGGGACAAGACCCTGCCAAGGACTGTCTCTCCCACCACCAGGCATAGTTGCCGCTGCTGCTATTGCTGCTCCTCCTCCGACACCTTCCTCCCCACCTGTCAACTCCCTGCCACTGTGCCACTGCGCTGGGACCTTCTTCGACCAGCTGGATCCTCCACCACACCCTGCATTTAGAGGCAATTGTTGTGTTGCTAGTGCTGCATTGATATCAGTATTATTATTTCTTTAAGTTACCAGTTTAATCTGTTGGCTTGGGTGATTTTTTTTCTAAAAAAAAAAAGGAAAAAAAAAAAAAGGGAAAGAAAAAAGAAGATGAAGAGGAGGACGAAAAGAGACTTATCTTGGGTTTTATTTCCTGTGTGTGTGTGTGTGCAAATCACTGGCACTTAGTTCATCAGAGCGAGACAAGGTGGAGTCAGGGCAATGGGAGACTTAATCACGAAGCTACTGTAAACTTTAAAAATTACTGCAAGATATTTTTATAAAGTTTTGGTTTTGTTTTGTTTTTTGAAGGGGAGGAGGGTGGGATTGGGTGGATGGGGACCTTTTTTTGTGTTTCAGTTATTAGGTCTTGGTTATTTATATATACATATATATATATTTAAAAAATAAGCTGTTAGATATATCTTCTGTTTAATAACTGTGTAGAGGCAACATTGATTCTTATTTATTTTGGGGAGGAGGAGGAAAAAAGACACAGAAACCCCATAAGTGTTGATCTTGTGACTTTGAGAAAGCAGAATCGTAGCCTTTTTTCCTCCTCCTCAAGAGTTATGTGACCAAGTGTAACTTATTCTGGCCCAAGCTCAAAGGTTAAACAAACAAAAAACCCCGTGGTTTTACTCGTGGAAGACAAAACACAGTAAGAAGTACTTCTTGACTGAGATTTTAAGAATGTAGGCTTAGCATTAGTGTTCAGCTCTTTTATGACCTTCGATTGCTGCTCGTTGGGTTCTTATGGGTGTATGTTGTATCGCAAATTATTTTTTTTTCAACGATAATGTTGGATGAGTTCTTTTTTGTTGTTGTCGTCGTCGTTGGTTTTTTTAAATCATTTCCCCCCTTCTTGGACCAGTTTTACTTGTACATAGGTTTGAAGATTAAAAAGAATTTTTAAAGACACAACTGGGGCAAAGACCTTTGACTTTTGCCCCACTTCCCCATTCCCCCAAATGGGAGGGATTTATTTTATTTTATTGTTTTTATTTATTTATTTATTTTCCCTGTTCTTAAACTTTTCTCTCTCGTATTGCTGTGTGCATGTCAGACACCAGGGGGTGATGGCTGGGGAGGGGGGGAGGCAAGGGTGCAGGAGAGGGGGGCAGTTTTAATTGCATGACATTGCTGTAAATTAGTCTCTTTTGCTTTCGTTGTCTTTCCTGCCTCCGCCCTCTCTCTACTTCTCCTCTGAGCTCCCCTCCCATCACCCCCGCCCTTCTTTTCCCTCTTTTCTCTTCCCTTGTGTATAGATTTTGATGCTTCTGTTACATTGTACCTCTACAAAAGGCTGGGATTTCAATACAAAATAATAATAATAATTTAAAAATACCTATATCAGCAAAACTCATGTGGTACAAGCAGGAAGGGGATTACTTACACAAGATATAAGAATAAATGAAAGCAATACCTCTTGTTATCCTTCCTATTTTGTACTTTGAAGACACACGCGCGCACACACACATATACAGACACAAACTGACATTATTTAATGGTTTAAAATGGACAGAAAAATCTGATGTATCCCTTGTTAAATAACTGTGAGCAACTTTAGTTCAAAAACCAATAAATTCATTCAGTAAAGATACCAGCTGTTGAGTGTCCTGTTTATGTCCATGAAAATGAACTGCTTCTCGCCAGACCCAGTAAGTACCGCGTGCTGGCTGTGTACCCCGAAGGAGCTGAAGATGGCCAGCATGCAAGTCAGCATCCTCCCGGCCGTGGAATCACCGTCGTCTCCTCGCAGCGCTGGGGGCCCTAGCGCAGTGCCCAGCGTGCTCCACCCTCACAGCGCAGACCCGCCACAGACAGCGAAGAGCAAGGACAGCTCAACCCTGTAGGCCTAGTCTTCTACAGTAACGTGTTCAAAACGAGTAATCCGAATCGCAGAGCAATCCCACACCCCCTAGACCTGATCTGGGTGGAAACCACTGTACCAAAAACTGTTGCTGCTTGTGATCATTCTCATTTCTAACCTGAGCTTCTCACGTTGCTTCCAGATTTAGCATAGGAAGGATTTCTCCACCTCCCCGCCTGAAACATTCTCAGTCACATACATTTGAAAAAGCTTATCAGGTATGTCCCTGGCTTGCGTTGGGTTTGGGAGTTTTTTTGCTGGTTGGTCGGTCGGTTCGCATGGCTGCTGGCTTGTCACACATCTCTCTCAGCTTTTGGGTGTTCACCTTTACACTGGATTTGTAACTTCTTCCAGGTTACCACGAGAGCCTGGCAATTCGCCTCTTGTGCTCAGAGGTTTGGCTGGTGCGCACTCAAGAGAAACCGAGACCCGTGTGGGTGGTTCCCCGCACAGCCAGGGTGAAGGCGGCAGGCCCAAGCCCCCGGCAGGCCTGCAGCGCTACCCCTGTGGGGTTCGGGCCCCCGGCCCTGCATTGACCGCGTCCCAGCCGCCTCCCGCTGCGTACCCCTCAGCCCCGACAGAGCTGCCCCAAAACGGGCCCGCTCTCCCGCCTGCGGGGGCAGGAGGGACGGGCGCCGCCCTGGGAGGGAGGAAGAGGGACCCCGCGCGAGCGGCGACCGCTG